TTGTAAAAAATGAAATACCAAAGAATATTAGGGAAAAGCGAAAAACACAAAAGGAAAAAGAAAAGAAAAAAAATAAAAAAAGAGGTAATGTTTAAAAAAAGAAAAAAATTTAAGTGGGGACATATTTGAAAAGAATTATTTTAATTAAAATAAAGTAAAAAAAAAGTATTTCTAAAGGACATTGTTAAAAAGAACTGTCAAACAATATTAGATGATAAAAAAAGACAATAGGTAAACGGAAGAAAAAAGAGGAGGAGGTGTTGTCACGTGTCACATAAGAGGAAAAAGTTTTGGCTCTTTTTACTATGTATAGTGCCGGGGGGGGGGGTTTCAATGCAGTCTAGGATCACGACAAGTGTCATGAACCATGGGCGGAATTAGACATAAAGACCGAGATAAAAAGAGGGGATTGATTCCCACCTCGATCGAAGGACGAGACCGTGGTAGACAAAGAACTTTGACACATCAAGACCGAAATAGACCGAGGCCGAGATGAATACGAGAATGACTCGTGTCAAGGGAAAAGGATCCTAAGGCAGTGACACGAGTCCCATCTTCTTCTAATTAATGCGGCCAATGCAAATGAGACACGTGTAAAGTGAATAACAGAATTAAAAGTGACATTTCCTGGATTAGGAAGCTTATTGGGACCTTCCAAAAACAGAATGTCCAAGAAGAAACTCTAATGGGAAATGAATGATGACGTGTCATAATCACGATGGGTCAAGAATATTCATATGATCATTACAGTCATCGTATAAATAAAAAGTGATAAGGATTGTAGAGGGATATGAATTCCTTCTCTAGGCCGAAAGATATCTTTCCTCTTCCACCATTCTAATTCCTTTGAATATTTACCTAATTTGAGCGTCAAAGTGTCTTTTGTATGACAATCCCTAACGTCCCCAACAAATGAGTGATTAGAAGAAGGAAAAAGAGGCAGAGCAATCCCCAGAAGTTGATGTTTGGAAAGCCACATAAACATATAGACATTTCTCTGTCTAGAAAATTATGAATAAGTACACCAAATAACTTAGCAAGCTGGTTTACAACGAAACACTATTAATTGTTTTGTGTTCATGTATGTCGTACTTCTTTTACATATTTGTTTTGTGTGAGTAATTTTGCCAATGGACAAATGACATTACCATAGAATGTCAACTGATAGGATTGAGTAATTGTGTCTTCGCCGACTTTTGAAGGACACGCTAAAACAGTGGTCGATGCTTAGCAAATCGCGTATACACTGGGAATTAGCGGACCATATATGTTGCAGACCAAGTGGCCTTTTTAAAACTTTTTAGAGATTTTCCATCATTCTTTGCTAAGTGGATGAGAAGGAGAGATAAGGCCATTGCTCATAGATAAGGCTGCTTCATTTCATTGCTCCAAAATACTCCCAACATTCATGTTCCATCCAAGTGGCCCTTTTAATTTTAGATTTTCGGTCATTCTCTTTTTAGTGAATGAGAAAGATGTTGGGCTAAAATATACGATCTAAACATGTTTATAATAGCATTTAGATGTTATAAGAAATAAAAAGACCAAAAACATACCTCCGACCGTGGACGTTTTGTTCATGAATTCAAAATCATTCTCAATTTACGTGTATTTTTTTGTGAGAGAAAATACTGTAGTGAATCACAAACCATGATTCGAATCATGACACAAATTCACCAACCAAACGCGAGTATGTAAAAAAAGAGAGTGAATGGCCTTAGGGACGCAATCATGCTCTATATATAAGCTCTGTTCATCACAGAGTCTTGTCAAAAATTTAATCCCTAAAATTACGGGATTATGGCCTGGGATTGGCTGATTCTGAATCAGTGGGTTCGTTTGGTACGAGGATTCAAATCATAGTGATTCTAATCATGATTTTTGAATCAGAATCATAGTTCATGATTTTAGATTCAAATCATGATTCGAAATCAGGAGTTTGAATCACCTTGAATCAAGAGTGGGGTGGTTTTAAAATCATGATTTGAGATAGTTTAAAACATCACATTAGATTCTGAATCATGATTTAGAATCATCCAAGTTAAACAGTGATTTTGAATCATGATTCAGAATTAATGTAAATAAACACTAATTTTAAATGAAGATCTAAAATTATAATTCTAAATCCATCTAAACGTAACCTAAAATTTTGATTTAAATGGAATTGATGGGCCGCACATTCGTACCAAAAATGGATCACATTAAATGGAAAAAGTCAACAAAAGACATATAAAATCGTTGCTCATAAATAAGGCTCGTTTCCTTGCTTCAAAATACTCTTCAACTGTTCAACGCATGTGTTTTGATTCTCCTCATTTTCCCCCCCCCCCCTATAATCCCGTGAGGCTTTCAGTTTGAATTTGGAATGTCTACTTTATGTTCTTCTTGTTGGCCATTGGTCCATTTGTTTGTGTTTATTTGATATGTTGAATGGATACATTTTTCATATTAAAAAAAAAAAACCAACCATAAAATATTGGCAGGGCCGGAATTCAATATATTTTTAGTTAAGACTTTGAAGTCTATTAAATTGTGAAGAAAGAAAAGGGGAAAATATTGGGTGCAAAAACCAGGATAGGGTAGGAGAAAAAATTAATGGGAACTGGGGTTTGAAAAGAAGAATATTTAATGCAGATATCATAACCAAAATTTGACCTCAAAACATTGTTAGACCTTGACTCTCTTATAAAGGCCTTTTGCATTTGATTTATATTTGAATCATACGACACATGCGAAAGAGAATACAGCAGTTTCACATGCATTTATGTGTCGGCGAGCTGATTGTAAATGCATCAAAATTGTGGCACGTATATATCATTCAGGAAAAAAAAGAAAAAAAAAAAAAAAGATACAACTGCATGCAACCAAAAATAATAACAAAAGATTTTCTTAGAAAAAAATAATAAGAGTCTATTTGGTTCATAGATTATAATCATGAGATTAAAATTATTTTTAATTTACGTGTATTTTTTGTGAGAGAAAATACTGTAGCGAACCATGAACCATGATTCGAATCAGAGAACGAATCCTCCAACCAAACGGACTCTAGGAGATCTGAGACTGAGTACGTTTGGTTGATGGATTCTGAATCATGATTTTGAATTATTCTCGATTTACGTGTATTTTTTTTGTAAGAGAAAACACTGTAGTGAGCCACGAACTATGATTCAAACCATAATACGAATCCTTAAACCAAACGTACTTTAAGGCCTGGTTCATTTTATGAATCAAATTATATTATTATAGTATTTTTTCTTATAAAAATTTAAATTTAATTTTTTTATTACAGTATTTTTCTCTCACACGCTCTAAATTAATTTCTTTGGCATCATATATATACTAATAAATAAGTATATACTTTTCTTGAATTTCTAATAATAACTATTAAATCAATTTTTATGTTCTTTTTGTCTGTATATAGTTTTTGATCGATTTGATCAACTAACTTGGTAGGTTTGAACGGTTTTACTACACTAAATCAATATGACTGATAAAAAGTTATTTCAAACCAACTAAATAATGATGTTGATTTAATATAGTTTAGATTGATTGACATCTACAGTTTATTTATTAAGAGAATTTAGTAAATAACATATTTATAAAACTAAGTTAAGTAAATAGCAGATTTTTAAACTTCTTAAAACTAAATAGCAGTTTAGTGCATAAATAATTTATTTATGATTAGTAAAAAGATATTTTTTCATGTAAATTTTATTTTTATATTGGTAAAAAGATTTTTTTTCATGTAAATAAAGATTTTATTACGTAAATTAATTTTTTATCAATTATAAATGAAATATTTATATGATAAACTGTTATTTAGTTTAAATAATTTTAAAATCTGTCATTTATTTTTAGTTTTAAAAATCTATTATTAACTGTAATTTAAGTTATTGGTCGTAGATTTTTCTAAAACACCCGTGGTGAAATTGGATTAGAATTTTACAAATTTATAAGGGGCTATGCATTCTTCAATGAGACTATGAAGATGTGTTTATTTCTTAACTCAAATTAGGAATTAAGTTGTGTATATAAAAAATTACTTAACAAAAAAGTTAAAATTAAGAGAAAAAACACTGTATATTAATAAAAATTTGAGTCGTAAAAGTATTAGATAAGACTATTAAACTCACTGAAATATATATATATATATATATATATATATATATATATATAATATACCATGCACCCTAAAACAAAAAAATACATGTGCAGGCTGTAGCTAGGAAAAAGCCAAATAGAAAAGAAATATCCTCATTTACTTTGGCCTCATTGGTTTTCTTGATTTAAATTTAAAATTTGAGTTGAAATGTGATTTTATATAAATTTTTTTTATTATAATAAAAAAATTAGATGTGACTGTTTGTGAGAATTTTTTACTATAATAAAACTTAAATCAGCGAAACGAACGATGCCTTCATCAATTTATATTTAAAATTTAAATTTTATTATAATAAAAAATTTTCAAAAATAACTACATCTAATTTTTTAATTATAATAAAAAATTATAACATAAAATTATATCTCCATTAAAATTAACAAAAAAGACAGGGTATTTTTGTCAGAAAATAAACTGAGGTTACTGGTTACAACCACGTGGAATGATTACTCGGAACTTTTGTATATTTGCAAATTTCACCCCTGGGTGGTAAAACTACATGAAATCAAAGACGGAGGAGAGAGAAAAGGCTGAGAATGGCAATAATGACGAGGTCTCGTCGGCAGTGGCTGGCGGGTTCCACGAGCCTTCTCTTCTTCTTCTCAAAGACGCGGAAGGGAGACAGTCTGAATTCTCAAATTTTGCAAAAATAGAAAATTCAAACCGAAATAAATATTAAATAAATAAATAAAAGAAAGAAAGAAAGCCCACAGGCCCAAACAAACACGAACAAAAAAAAAAGAAAAAAGAAAAAAAAACCCGCGCAACGCAGAGAGATTTTTTTTTTTTTTTTTTTTATATATTATCAGAACGCAATGAAACAGAAAACACATCTCTAGCTTCGCGCATTTTCAAGCCCCATTTTTATATCCCCCAATATTGATTTTATTTTAATATTAAACTAAAATATGATGATAAAATAAATAAATAAATCCCTGTTTTCTTGTTTCTACTTTCTTCTCTCTTGTCTCAGATTCATTTACATCGAAAGAATTCGAGCGATCGAGCTCTGTGTCGGAATCTCTCTCTCTCTCTGTGCGTGCATGGACGGCCATTACTCACTCCTGTCGATCTCAACGGTCGGATTCGCATCCAGCGTCACTCATTTCCACGCACCAAATTCATCATCCTCTCTGTCTCTGTCAGTTTCCCTCTGAATTTAATTCCTTTCCCTTTTTTTATAATTTTTTTTCCTTAATTTTCTCACAACAGAACACAGCGAGAGCATATGGAAACCAAACCATACCCATTACCCAATCGCCCCCATTCTTCGTGCCTATGTATGTATATGTGTGTATAGACTATATATAACACACACATATATATATATATACATATAAATATATATGCATGTTCTTTTCTGCTAGGGTTTTTCTTCTATCTATCTCCGAAGATTGGAAAATTGGCCTTGTTGACCAGTAATAGTAGAAGTAGTTGTTGTTTCACGATGATTTGTTTGTACGGACAGGGAAGAAGACGACGACGGCCATGAGGACTTGTTGTGAGATCATCATCGTCGTTTTGTGGTGGTGGAGGATATGGGCTGTGGAAGTTCCAAGGTCGACGACTTGCCGTTGGTGACTCTGTGCAGAGAGCGGAGGGATTTCATCAAAGCGGCGTCGGATCACCGCTACGCCCTCGCCGCCGCCCACCTCTCGTACTTCCAGTCCCTCAAGGACATCGGCGACGCTCTCGTCACCAGCGGCACTGGCGGAGATTCTTCCTCCGCTCCTGGGTCTCCGGTCCTCACATTGCCCTCTCACGGGGGAAAGAGGAGGAAGCCCAAATCCAAGCTCCAAAACGACGACGAACCGAAGAATTCCTCATCGTCGGCCTCGATTTCGCATCTCAATTCCCCCGGGGACGAAGAGCTTGAGGATTCGCACTTGCATTTGTCGTCTGGTTCCGATTCGGACTCCGAATTAGGTTCCGCTCCTGGTCACATTCGGATGGAAGAGAGCATTAGCCCCAAGGAGGAGACAGGGAGAATGGAATTTCCTCCTCAGAGTTACTATCCGAGCGATTGGGCTTCTCCGATTTCTCCCGGAGTGAATTCCTTTATGCATTTCGCGAAGAGGTCCGAGACGCCAACGCAGTCCACGGTTTACGAAGAGCCTGAAACGGAAAGGTATTATTCCTCCTATGGAAACTCAAACTCGGGATATTCTTATCCGCAGTATAGCAGCGGTGGGTTTTACGGGTTCTCTATGGGTTCGCCGCCGGATCAAAACGATTTTTATCCGTATCGGCAACAGAATCCGCCTCCTCCTCCTCCGGCGCCGCCGTCGCCGCCGAAGGTGTCTAGTTGGGACTACCTTAATTTCTTCGACACTTATGATAATAGTGGGTACCCGGTTAACTATCCGAGGTACGGGTACGGGTCGAACACGAGTAGTCCGGATTCGACTGAGGTGAGGGAGAGAGAGGGGATTCCTGAGTTGGAAGATGAAACAGAGACGGAGGGGTTGAAGAAGGTCACAGCGAAGAAGAAGAAGGTTGGTGATGAGGACGGCGTGAACAGGAATATGAATTCAGGAGAGGGGACTTCTTCAAGGGCTGTGCCGAAGCAAAATGGGGGTGAGGGAAGTTCTAGACCGGTGCCTTTGAGGAGTAATGACAGTCCAGAATCTGCTGAGATGAAGAGTAGCTCGGGGACGATTGATTCGATCGACACAACTACTGTTTTGAAAAGCCCCGATGAAGACTCTACTAGGAAGAAAGGAGTGAGTTTTGAGATTGACGAGACATCAAATTTGGAGGTTGAATCTTCCAAGCGGAGTAGCTTGACGACATTGTCTGTCCATGGTACAAGGGACCTTCAGGAAGTTGTCAAGGAAATCAGGGATGAGTTTGAGGCTGCCTCTAGTTATGGGAAAGAGGTGGCGATGTTGCTTGAGGTGGGCAAGCTGCCATATCAACCTAGAGCCACTGCACTTGGAGGTATAACTCTGATTAGTCCAAAACCTTGTCTTATCACATTTTTACTTTTGGTAAGTGTTGTTTGTGTTGCTGGAGATGTATCATTCTTACATTATGTGTTGATGGATTCGTTTTAGGAGAGAATTTCAAAGATCCATATTATTTCTGATTGTATTCCTACCTGTTTCGGTATCTTTCTTTATTGAACTCTTTTAGAGCCTAAAATTGACAATCTGAGTGATGCATACTCGTTTAGTATACTGACAGTTCGATAACTGACAAGCCAATTTTGTTGTGTTTTATGGAATAGCGGCTAAAGCTATTCAAATAAGGCTGGATGCTTTTTTTTTTTCCCTTTCAATCTGAATGGTCTCTAGGATACATACTAAATAAGTCACTCTCCGTGAGGGAATATTACATAATTTGTATGGCAAAATAAGGTTTTTTCCCCCCTAAGATGTAACAAATAAAAAGGTCTGTCATGATGCATTGTAGCAGAACCAGTTGAACTGGGTTTTGAACCCCTTTCCCAAACAAGCATTGAATGACTTGAAACTGTCCAAATGTATTAATCTCAGGGTTCCAACTGAGATAATGATGTTTAAGTTTTATCTCAGTAAACAAGCACTGAGCCTGAGCCTTTTATGTATTGAAACTTCTGCATCTCTATGCAGCGATCTTTTCCAGGTTCCTGTACCTTATAGCACCTTCCATGTTATCTTCACATCCTCCATCCAGGCCGTCAATACGATTACCATCTAGAACAATTAAATTGGCAAAAGCATACAATGAAGAGCTTGGAAAAGATTCGAAGTTGAAGTCTGGAAATATTTCAACAACTTTGGAGAAACTTTATGCATGGGAGAAGAAACTTCATAAGGAAGTTAAGGTATGGATGCATCAAAGGAAAAAAATAATAATTTAGAGATTGTAACATATTCATGCACGATTCAGTTACTACGAAGGCAACATTATCAACAAAGGGTTGGAAATCAGAAATAAATGATGCATGCGAGTTCGATTGTAGTAATCATAATCCTATATGCTTTGGTTGAATTGTCTAATGAAACCAAGTTCCCAGACAAGATGCGCATTTTTCAGAAACAATTAATAGCAAACAGTGAAACACATAGAATGTGTCAATCATTATTTTTATTGATTATAAGTTCCTTGTTGTTTCTCTCAGTTCATTTTTGCTTAATTAGTATTTGTTACTGGTTTTAGGACGAAGAAAGGCTTCGGGTTATTTATGAAAAGACGTGCAGGAGACTAAGATACCTTGATGAGCATGGAGCTGAATCCGGTAAGATTGATGCTACCCAGGCATCAATACGTAAATTGCTAACAAAAATTGATGTTTGTATCAAAGCTGTTGATGCCATATCAGCTAGGATACACAAGTTGAGGGATGAAGAATTGCTTCCCCAAGTCACAGAATTAGTTCACGGGTATTGAGCTACTTCAGCTTACTTGTACTGTATATGGATTTAACTGCACATATTCATTTTTTTTTTTATTTGTTTGTATTTTTGCATCACTTTGAGAAGGCAATTTCTCTTTCTGTTGAAGGTGATAGTGCCAAAGTCTAGTTTTGTATGAATGAGTAGCTTTATCAATAGAGTAGTTGTGATTTGGTTATATACCAGCTTACTTTTGATGGTCTCGATCTCTGCTTAGTTACGGTGATTGGTTCTGGTGAAAGTTTTTGGGAAAAAGATCAGAAGATAAGATTGCTTATGGCATAACATGATACTGAATTTTCGTTTAGCTTCTATCACTCTTAATTTCTTAAGATGTCTTGTTCTGATGAATGCTTCTCTATCTGCAGATTGATAAGAATGTGGAAAGCCATGTTTAAATGCCACCAGAAACAGTTCCAAGCTATCATGGAGAGTAAAATGCGCTCTCTTAAAATGAACACTGGTTTTCGTAGAGATGCAGGTTTGAAAGCTACTCTTGAACTTGAAATGGAGCTCATGAATTGGTGCACCTGCTTTAACAATTGGATTAACACCCAAAAATCCTATGTTGAGTCTTTAAATGAATGGCTTTCGAGGTGCCTGCAGAACGAACCTGAAGAAACTGCCGATGGTATAGCCCCTTTCTCCCCAGGCCGGATTGGAGCCCCATTAATTTTCATAATCTGCCATGATTGGTTTCAAGCAATGGAAAGAATATCAGAAAAACGGGTATCGAATGCAATGACTGATTTTGCTGCAACACTACACCAGTTATGGGAAAGACAAGATGAAGAGCAACGTCAGAGGATAAAGGCAGAATTCCTCTCCAAGGATTTTGAAAAACGGCTCAGGCACTTGCGCATGGAGAGAGGAAAACTTGAGCAGGACCGCGATGCATCCTCAGACAAAGCTGCTCTGTCAAGAGTTCCTTCTGGAAGTGGGGTTTCTCCGCTGGATGATCTAAAGGTGGATTTAGATTCAATGAGAAAGAAGTTGGCCGAGGAGAGAGCAAGGCATAGGGAGGCAATGAAACTGGTTCATGATGCAGCTTCAAATAGTTTACAGGCGGGCTTGACCCCAATTTTTGAGACTTTGGGTAACTTCACTTCAGAGGTTCTTAAAGCTCATGAGCAAGTCAGGCTTCAAAATGCTGGAGTAGCGTAAGCGACCTGTAACTTATATATAATATAATTAGGCAAATTGTATGCTTTCTGGCAAAACACCATTGCTCTTGTCTGTACAGTTACTTTCACGAGTATCACACAACTTAGAAAGGTCAGTTTAGTGGAGAAGAGTGATCTTGGGAGTGAAATTTAGGCATGAAGAAAAGCAACTTCTGAGGTGTTTAGGAAAAGGGGTTTAGTTTAGATTCCCTAAGAAAGGGAAAGATGTTTGTAGAGGAGATACCTTAGCTTGTCTTGAAAATTTTCTTCTGCAACGACCCCCCTCTATAGATGGATAGGAATTTTGTATAGAAATTCATTTATTGGTTAATTGGTTTGCAGGTGGCTGTATTGTTTGTAATTGGCTGTATTGGAGGATATCAGTTAGCTTGTAGTCCAGAAACCATAACAATTTTGTATGAGCCATTTGAATATGTATAAATATCTACTTGAATTTTCATGTTATCTAATTTTGATATCTCTTCATTTCACCACCTTGCCCCCATTTGTATTAGGTTTATTTGCTTCCATGTTTTGTCTGAGCTGTCTCATGATTGGCATTTCCAACAAAGTTTCTTCTAAGCTGATCTTGTGATCTGATTATAATGTGATGAGCAGTGTCTTTTCAGTTGTTCCATAGCTCTTCAAATATTATTAAAAAAGGAGGAAATACTCCTTACTCTTTACTCTTAATTAATATTCTTTTTAGTCAAATAATTATATTAGTCAAAAGAGTTTAGAATTTAGATCCACCCACTTATTTGGGCATGCGAAATTGCAAATGTGTTGATGTGAATCCAGTTTGTGTCAGATTATTGCCACACTAGGATTCATTCCATCAAAAAAACCATAGTTAAAGTGAACTAATATATCTTAAATTTAAGCGGAACTACGTTCTTATTCATGGTGTACCCGTCTCTTGTGAGGTGGATATGAGGTTTTCTTATATTTTTTTGTAAAAAAATAAAATAAAAAATGTTAAAGTAAATAATCATATACAAAAATGTTCTAACCTTTTGTTTTAAGATTTTAAGATTTTGTTATCTGTTCATGAGACATTAGCGACTATTCTGATGCATTTTGCAATCCAATATAATGGAAATTGCTCTGAGTTTTGACAATGTTCAAACTTTCTTTTTGAAACTCTTAATTGGTAAACAAGTAGAGTATGAAGGTGGCTTCATGTGGGGATTCTCCAACCTCAACTAATTTATGCAGTTACGGAAGTAAAAACTAAGGGCATGTTTACTTTGCAACAAAAAGAAAAAGAAAGAAAAAAATGAGGAGTGATTTTTTTTTTTTTCATTTAATTATGTGTTTATTTATAAAATCAGTAATGAAAATTTAATAGGTCATGCGCAATCTTTATACCCCTTTAGTATTGATTATTTGTCAAAGATAATGAATGTTACATTTACTTATTTACCCTTAATGAATTACTATATAGTCAATAACTATTTAATTGTGTAAAAAAGATTTTATTCATAACATTGTTGCTCCTAATTTTAGTAAACATAAAAAAGAAAATAAAGTTGTTTCCTATTACATCATTTAATAATTAAGTAAATACTTAAAAAAAATCAATAACACTTAATCCTATTACTTTACTTTTCTTTCTAATCTTATTACCTTTCCCGTTACATTTATTTACGGTTAGTAAACGTGCTCCAAATATAAAGGTATGCTAAATAGAAGAAGCATATGTGTCCTACCTGTCCCAATGCTGCCCTTATTTTGGCACAATTTTTGAATGAATGTATTAGTTTACTAGTAGCGTAAAAAAAAAAAAAAGTTGGAGACATAAGTCAAGTGGTAAGTTTACACCTAACTCAATCATAAAGTATAGAGTCCTAAAAAAACAAACTTATATAACATTAGAAATCTATTAAATTCTACAAAATATTCATGTTGATTTTTATGTATATTTTATTTTTCAAGGTTCATATACACATGTATTATACCTGAAGTGTTTAAGAGAATGTTCTTTCAAATTGAATGTTGTATATTTTGATGGGATTTTTTTTATGATAATCTATGGTTTTTTTGGATCGTATTATTGTCTTTCTAAACTTTTTAAAAATTAAACTTTTTATCTTGAAAAAATTGTGAGCAATATTCTCCATTAATAATTTGTCAAAAATAAAAAAAAGGCGAAAAATGGAGCTATAACTCAAAACTTTAGCCCTTACATTTCAATCACTCTACGTCTTGAATTTGTAATTTTCATGCGATAAAATATAGGAGTAATTATCCAACAATTTGCTTCATGTAATTAAAAAAAAAATCCCAACTATATTAACCCGGTGAACAAAAAATCTACCCAAACTCTAGAGAGGGAGAGGAAAATTTTCTGAAAAGAAAAGAAGACTATGAAATTTGATTTATCTCAACTGAATAGTGAAAGTCTTTTTTATAGGGTTTAGAGGTGAAAATGGCTTCACTCTTTGCGGTGTGAGACAAAGTGTTAATGTTTATGTCCTTAGAAATAAATGTAATAATATTTTTTGAGATATTTTGACTATTAATAAAGATTTATTTATTTCATATATCATGTATTGTCCTCTTTATGTTCATATTAGTTGAATGTATGATAAGCAGACTGAAAGACTGTCATTCTAAATTTTTAAGTTATGCATGTAATGAGAAGAACATACGGAATATAGGAATCTAAAGATGATAGTTTAAATCATATGACCCATAATCGAGAAAATAAAGTTGGGCGCTTTATTCATGTTAAGATTGTTATATTGTTTACTAACGGAGACGGCTTGTCTTGGTCGTCAGAGGTGGGACTCCGTGGGTAGAGACTTGATATAGTTTCTAGTGGTGAAATCTATATTGGGTCGGACTAAAGTTGAATTGTTTTAATTAATAATTCTGTTTGTATAAAATAATTCACTTTTGACGAATTATATGTGGTCATCTTAATCTTGAGATGGATAATGAACCCGTATGCTTGACTTGTATCCTTTGATGTACCAAAAGGAGACATATTGACATTATGTAAAGGTACGCTTACCGATACATTGGGAGTATGACTCGTATATGCGTAGATTCGTTATTCATAGATAGTGGAATCTATAGCTCCTACAAAGAGTCAATGATATCCTCTTATGCATTATCTGTGGATTGAAAAATATGAGCACTCGGCCATTAGACTACTCTGTGTTATCTAATGGTTTATTATTTGTAATGGTAGGAATAGTGATTTTTTGATGTAGTGGTAATGGAACATAAGATAAATGTAATCGGAAAGGCAAAATGGAACATGACCTCAAGTCGATTATGGATATTCTATGGGGATGATACACTAATATATTGAGTCATGGACGAGAGCTATTCAAAGCTTTGTAAATGTGCTATATAAATCGAGAGTGCAGCTCTAGACTTTTAATTGAGTAGCGCTAGAGTTTTATAATCATGAGACAGACTTGTTGGTTTACAAGTAGCGTTGTGATTATATGAGCTTGATTTATATATGTCCATCGGGTCCCTTTGCTAGCTCACATAATTTCTTGTAATGATATGGTGTATTTCTTGCATATTGGTAACTTGTGTTATTTCCGTAAAAGAGGTTCAGAGTTAATATGAGATTGGTTAATTATTCATGAGTGATTTATCGGGTGAATTAATTGATAAATTAATTCTAGATAAATTGGTTGAAATAATGTTTCGGGTTGTTTTGTTCCTGAGTAATTTATCGGGTGGATTAATTGTTAAATTAATTCTAGATAAATTAGTTTTATTATTTTGAGAGTTATTTAATATGAGAAGACTATTATATGACTGTTTTGATCAGGCAACTCCTCTATTGGATTGCTTGAATTAAAACTGATGCTATGTGCAAGTTTCCCGTATTGAAAAACTAGGAAAACAATTTTCCCGTGTTCAGACAAGTCGACCGGACCGGTCGACCGGTTCATGAAGGATAAGTCGACCGGTGAGTTATAACGTCTCTGTCACCGATCGATCGGTTGTAACGCGTAGCGCGTGCTGACGTGACGAAACTGACTCTGTAAGCGAGATAAACCTTGAAAAACCTAATTGTTACGGATATATGACTTCCTAAACACTATAAATAGCCCAGTAAGTCACATTTTTCTTTAGATCACTTGAGAGTCTTTTTGGGGGCTATTGGCAAAAGATTTCTGAGAGGAAAAATTGTTTAATTCTTAAGAACGATTTTTTCCTTTGGCTCTCTTGTGGTTGGAAGGAGTTTAAGAATACCAAGAGGAGATTGAACGACATGTGTCGACCCGCACTCCTATCGTGGAAACGAGAATAACAAAGAAGACAAGTTGGTTGAGGCTCTTCTAGTTGCTGTTTGAAACGCTTTGATCTGTTAGACGTGCTGTTTCTTAAATCTCTAAAGGTATGATTTAGATATTTAGAATTTATGTTATATAGTATCATGGACATGTTCTTGGTTGGCTTTCGCATCGATTTAAATTTTTTTAAAATTCCGCTACGCATTCGATGCCGTTTTTTCAACACAAAGTGCTTTCCCAACTTTACGAGAGTTTTTACGTTGACTTTCTCAACTTCATGGGTACACTTTAAGAGTCAATTTCTCATTTATCTGTTAACCATTTTAAGCATATGAGTATATCCTTTTGATTGTCACATGGAATGCATAAAGGATTATTAAAGGCCTTGTTCATTTCACTGATTCAAGTTTTCAATTTCAATTTTAATACAGTTAAAAGCTCTTACAAAAATTCATATTTAACTTTTTCTGCTACAACTAAAAACTCTCATATAAAGTCACATCTCAGCTTGAATTGAAAACTCGAATCAACGAACTGAACGAGGCCATAATCCTCTCCACTTTTCACATTTTCCATCCCTTCAACTCTCTCCATCATTCCTCTTTTCCATCTCTCCTACTAAATGAAGTCTTATTTTTTTTTTCTATTTTCCACCTCACGTCTTTTATGTGTGTCGAAAACGAAAGCCATAGTGATTGAGCAATGAGGTGATCTCTCAAAAATTAAAAGACATTATAAATATACTACATGCGAGAAGTTTTGTACTGTTCATACACTGTTCACACACTCACAGTGTATTGTTCGTACTGTTCATTGGTAATTACCGGTTTGCCCTTCCAGCATGAAATGTTAGGTAACTTAGGTTTGCCCCTTCTTTCTCTTCTCTTTTTCCCTTCCTAGGCCGGGGCTATTTGTGTCTTTCCAGTATTATGTTAGCGTGTGCAATGTCCATTTTGCCCATTTCCTTCCCTTTCTCATTGTTTTTCTGAGCATGTTTTTTGGTCATTTTGGTGTTTTTATTTTTATTTTTTTTTCCTTTCCTCTTCTCCTCTTATAGACCGTTCGTGCAACTTCTTCCTTCTCATTTTGTTGCCGCTTTTGCTCTCTTTCTGCCTCTCAAGCGATTTTCTCTCCTCCATCGTCCCAATCCT